CCTGTGGAGCTATTATGCTCTCCTGGCAGGGACAGGGGTGCAGGCAGCATTTCCTGCTGAGACACCACAATGATTATTGATAGTAGCTATAACCCCTGGCAATGATAGCATGCTGAAATTCAACATGCTTGTTGTACCCAAGTCAATCAATGGATCGTCTGCGTACAATAACCTGCCTATACATGGATCGAATCAATTCGATCTATCTATGGCTGGCTTTAAAACTTCCCTCTGTCTTAGCAGTGGCTAAATCATGGTTATATAGCTAGCAATTGACAGCAAACTTTCCTTACTTGACAGGCCATGCAAGTTCTAAAAACTGAAAGATTTATGCCCAGGGTTATAGTAAGGGTGCATTCACACTTGTGGGTTTTCAACATGATCAAAATGCATGCAAAAATCATGGTGAACTGGATTAATGTTCTGTGTGTGCGCAATGTACTAATACATATATATAACATCACAACTCCACGTAAACAGCTAAATCAAAACTTCAGAAGCATATATTTAATGTATATGTGTTTTACCAGCTAAAAGGTTTTGTAATTCTCTAGAGCCAATCTGGTGATTTACACAAATCTGCCACATCGTGTTATTTTTCTGGTTGAACAATGTAGTCCTACATAACCTTCTAGTCTGGCAAACCCTTTAACAGGGAAACAGTAGAAATAGATATATTTAAAGTGGTTGTAAAGGCTATGCATGAAGGTAAAAAACCTTCTCTGTGCAGCATCACCCCTAGCCCCCTAATACTCACCTAAGCCCCCTCTTGATCCAGGCTATCCCGAGACTCATTCTCCTCATTGGCTGAGACAGCAGCGGGAGCCATTGGCTCCCGCCGCTATCAATCACAGCTAGTGAGCCAATGTGAAGAAAGAGGGAGCAGGACCGAGCTGTGGCTCCCTGTGTGAATGGACACACAGAGCAGCGACAGGGGAGTGCGCATGCTCGGGTGCCCCCATAGCAGGCTGCTTGCTGTGGGGGCACCTGACAGGAAGGAGGGGCCAGGAGTGCCAACAGGGGACCCAAGAAAAGGGGGACCCAGGCTGCTCTGTGCAAAACCACTGCACACACCAAGTAAGTATAGACATGTTTGTTATTAATTTAAAAAAAACCTTTAGAATCAATTTAATTTGCTAATGCAGGATTTTGCCTGGCGTGCCACTTGAATACATACATTCTGGAGACTCACCAGTGATAAGTTAGTGCACGTACTCTGGAGCAATGTTTCTCAAGCTTTTTTCAGTCAAAGCACCCTTTAAATTTCTGCAGAATCTCGAGGCATCTCATTCTAATAATAACTAATAGTTTTACATAATGCAGCAACAACCCACGCAAGTAGGACACCCAGTGTTAGAGGTGATTTATTCTTCTAAAGCAAATACACCTTTTCACACTGGTATTGACTAGTTTCAAAGTTTCTCTTCTTCCTCAGTTTTTCTCCCTCACTCAGCTAATGTGACCGCAGTGCTGATGGAGAGGGGTAGGAGAGGAGCAAACCAGCATACTATGCATAGCCCGACATCCTCCTTATCTACCAGTGACATAATTGGTTGTTAGCACACTGGCAGCTAGAAGGTTGTAATGGTGCACAATGAAAACCTATGGCTTTGTGTAACTAAAAGGCTTGATCCACCCACTGGCTTGTATACAATTTTGGCCAATTTTTAGATATTTTTCCAGGGCACCCCTGAAGAAACTTGAAGGCACCCCAGGGTGCCTGGGCACTCTGGCTGAAAAAGTCTGCTCTGGAGAATGGCCAGTAAGGGGCTAGCACACATTTAAGGGTTTATTGTATTTACTCTAGTCATCAAAAGGTTAACACAAATACTTGGGTAACTGGTTTCTAGGGGAAATTAACACACAAACTCTGGTCTTTGTTACGTTAAAGTAGAGCTCCAGTCTCCCTCAAAAAAATTAAAAGTCAACAGCTACAAATACTGCAGCTGCTGATTTTTAATATAAGGACACTTATCTGTCCAGTGATCCAGCATCGTCCTCACCCGAGCGATTCTTCAACCAGCTTCGAGTGCAGGCGCCTGCATCTTAGGTAAAGGAAAGGAGCACTGTAGCCTTTCAGCTTCACAGCTGGTTTCCTACTGTGCATGTGCGAGCTGCGCTGCACTTTGAGAATGGTCCTGCAGTCTTCTGGTACCTGTGATGTGTCCCAGAAGGATTCGGGGGGAAGGAAGAGGTCTGCACTTCCTTACAGATCGCTGCAGCGATCTGACACAGAAGCAAAAGTGGGTACATGTCAAAAGCAGGTACCCACTTCCCCCAAAACTTGCAAAATGTGGTAGTGGGGGAGGGGGGGATGCAAACAAGCGGAAATTCCCCCTTTGAGTGAAGTTCTGCTTTAAAACACATATGCTGGAGACTAACCTCTAAGGGGTAATCCACGTGCAGTAAAGAATGCTTACTGAGTGATCAATGTACATATGCTGGAGACTGGTCACTGACAGGATATGTTTATACATTGCAGATTGGTCCCTAAAAGACCAATGGACATGTTATTAGTACTGGTCACTGAAGGGTTATTGTTCATATGCTGAAGAGAGGTCCCCATAATGTTAAGACTGGTCACTGGGGGGGAAGTGGGGGGTAGTCGGGGTAGTACACATACTCTGGGGAATGATTGAGCATTGTACTGGAGATTGGTTACTGAGAGGTCAATGCCAGAGACTGGTCACTGAGGGATCAATACACATAATTAGGAGATTGATCAATTATTTAATGAAAATATATTGGTGGGGAGTCACTGGGTGTTTAATGCAAATACAATGAGAGCAGTCACTGCACCACAGGTGTGACAACTGGTAGTGAGCCCTGTGTACTGGGGGGTCACTTTACTGCTAGCATGGATACAGTGCTCCCTGCTGATGAGAGTTTGAACCTCGAGAGATCTTTAGTATTTGCTGAGTTTACACAGCAGTAACCTGAAAGTAATGGGCAGTTTTGTCTGTGTGCACTGAGCAGTATGTTTGTTCTACCAGTAGACAGGTCAAGCTGAGTCAGCCAATGTGCTCATGTGAGTAGTGGGGAAGGGAAGGAGGGGGGGTTAAAGATGCCTCTGACACTTCCTGGTAGTGTCGGAGGGTCTACAAATGATCACTTTGAAACAGTCATAGATTTATAAACAAATAGGTGTGACCTTTCTTGACTATTACAGCACTGAGTGTGCCTATATAGTTTCAGGTAGTGACACATTATCTTTTAAAGCACCCATTACATGGTAATATTCCATCAAAAACAAAAAATGTTCAGCTTTTTTATTTTTCACATTTCTACAGTTCAAATTACTAATGAGTTCATTGTACTGCTCATATATTTAGAGTCCTTAATGAAAACCTTCACTTTATCAATCCCGCTTTCTCTGTGCCAGGACCCATCAATAAGTCAATAAACTTACTGAAATGCTCTCTCTTTTTCCAGACTCTTTGTCTGACCAGTAAAGGGGAATAATAAGGTCATTATTAAGAGCAGTGAGTATTGATACATCTCTCTATTACATGTTAATAGCTTTTACATTCAAGTTACAAAATAGCCAACTGATATTTCTGTCAGTATTGTTATATGTATAGCCTTTTTAGCCATATCATAGTTAAAGAAAACATTAAAATTCCTAGTATTTTATAAATTCTCTTCCTTCCAGCTATATATATGTACAGTCTTAGAGCTAATACAGGCTTAAAGCTATGCTCAAAGCAGCTACACTATATTGCCAAAAGTATTGGGACGCCTGGCTTTACACGCACATGAACTTTAACCACTTCCAGTCCAGACACTTTTACCCCCTTCCGGACCAGGGCAATTTTCAGCTCTCAGCGCTATCACACTTTGAATGACAATTGCGCGGTCATGCAATACTGTACCCATATTAATTTTTTAGCATTTTTTTGAGACAGATAAAACTTTATTTAGGTGGTATTTATTCACCGCTGGGATTTTTATTTTTTTTGCTATGTAAATGAAAATGTCCAAAAATTTTGAAAAAAAAGTGTTTTTCTTATAAAAATTTGCAAATAAATAATATTTCATCATAACTCTTGGCCAAAATTTATTCCGTTATCTTTTTAGTAAAAAAAAAATAAGCCAAATTAGTTTATAACCAAAAATTATAATTTTCTAACATTTGTTTTACATTTTTTTTTTTTATATTATTATTTATTTTATTATTTTTGTTTTTTACATACTGTCACCCTAGCAGTACAGTGTCACCATGGTGACACTGTACTACTTTTGGGGGGTGATGAAGATTTTTTTTTTTTTTTTTTACACTGATTGCTTTTACACCCATATAGGATATACAGTAAAAGCAATCATTTCTCTTTCTCTCTGTCTGCATTCTTGCAGCCATTGAGAACTACTGAGTGAGCTGTGATTGGTCACAGCTTGTCACATGGTACAAGGCTGTTGTGAATAGCCTTGTACCATGTGACCTCTGTGATCATTCACAGATTACACATGTAGTAAGCAATGATGTCAGAAGTGACATCTTGCTTACTACTTTGCATGTGATCACTGATTGGCCAATCAGTGATCACATGATCAGGACCTTGTACAGAGGTCCCGTCCGACGATTGGTGTTTCACTGTATCCGGAGGACACAGCGGGCACTGGATCGCGGTGCTGTGCACTCCCAGGGAGCGCACACAAGCAGGGTGCGGGGAGGCCATTTATATGGATCTTGCTTTGTGCACTGGTGTGCAGTCATGTTGGAACATCCCCAAACTGTTCCCACAAAGTTAATTGTCCAAAATGTCTTGGTATGCTGACGCCTTAACAGTTCCCTTCATTGGAACTAAGGGGCCAAGCCCAACTCCTGAAAAACAACCCCACACCATAATATCCCCTCCACCAAACTTTACACCACTTGGCACAATGCATTTAGGCAAGTACCGTTCTCCTGGCAACCGCCAAATCCAGACACGTTCATCGGATTGCCGGACGGAGAAATGTGATTCTTCACTCCAGAGAACACGTCTCCACTGCTCTAGAGTCCAGTGGTGGCATGCTTTACACCACTACATCTGACACTTTGCATTGCACTTGATGACGTAAGGCTTGGATGCAGCTGGTTGGCCATGGAAACCCATTCCAGGAAGCTCTCTGCGCACTGTTGTGCTAATCTGAAGGCCACGTGACATTTGGAGGTCTTTAGCTATTGACTCGCTATGGTGACTTCTGCGCACTGCGTTTCAGCATTCTTTGACCCTGCTCTGTCATTTTACGTGGCTTACCACTTCGTGGCTGAGTTGCTGTTGTTCCCAGTTGCTTCCACTTTGTTATAATACGTCTAACAGTTGACCGTGGAATATTTAGTAGCAAGGAAATTTCATGGATGGACTTGTTGCACAGGTAGAAACCTATCAAGTTACCACGCTTGAATTCAATGAGCTCCTGAGAGCGACCCATTCTTTCACAGATGTTTGTAGAAGCAGTCAGAATGCCTAGGGGCTCCTCCAGACACACCTGCCCTTAACCTATCCATTTATACATGTGCTTCTACTATGGAGGCTTTGGAAATTTTAGATAGATCCACAGTATACAGAGGACCCTTGACGTGGGACTGTGACTTACGTATGTATTTGCAAATGTGCGCAAACAAAACCCTCTGTTTTTAACGCCAACTGTTAGACAGGGCCAAATTGGTTGTTTCGAAGGCTGGCTGGTAAGTGCTGCTGGGAAATCTTTTGTTTGTCTTGCGATGTGCATTGCCCTTCCATGTGCACCTTACTGCTAAGGCTGGTTATAGGATGGGACGGTTGCCATTTTTTGTGTACTTGATTTTATACACCTGTGGCCATGAAGGTGATTGGAACACATGAATCCAATGATTTGGAGGGGTGTTCAAATACTTTTGGCAATATAGTGTATAAAATATACAATGTAATGCAGCTTGATAATTGAGAAAAATCATTAAAGGTGATCTCTGGAGAAAAAAAATTTGTGAGGGCATTTGCTGTGTATAATAAATTGATGTCTGCAATATTCTTTTAGTTGGAAGATGTTTGTGGGTTCCCTTGCAAAAACCTCCCATTCCAAAATTCTCCTACAAAATTTCTACAGTATGGTAATCTAAAGATGGCTTTGACAAGGTCAGTTCATTGCCCTCTAATTTTTCATTTTGAGCCATCCCTTGGTGGATTTGTTAATGTGCTTTGGATTATTATGTTTAAAGACTCATTGGTGCAGTAAAGGCTTCTTTCTGGCAAAGTGACCATGCAGCTCAATTTTGTTCAAGTATCTCCGTATTGTGCTGCTTGAAACAACCACATTGTCTTTTTTCCAGGGCAGCCTGTATTTATCCTGAGGTTACTTGTTACTTTTTCTTTGTATCCTGAACAATTATTCTGGCAGTTGTGGCTGCACTCTTTTTGGCTCTACCTGACCTTGGCATCACGAGATCCCCAAATTTTCCACTTAATAAGTGATTGAATAGTACTGAGTGGCATATTCAAGGCTTTGGATATGTTTTTATATCTTTTTCCAGCTTTATAAAGTTCCTCTACTTTGTTATGAAGCTCTTTTGACAGTCTTTTCTGCTCCCCATAGCTCAGTATCTAGCCTGCCCGGTGCATCCACATGAGAGTTAACAAACTCATTGACTACACTATTTATACACAGACACTAATTGCAATTTAAAAAACCACAGATGTGGGAAATTAACTTTTAACTGCCATTTTAACCTGTGTGTCGCCTTGTGTGTCTGTACCAAGGCCAAACATTCCAGGGTATGTCAAATTTTGATCAGGGCCATTTGGGTGATTTCTGTTATTATGATTTAAAAAGGAGTCAAACAACTATGTGATAATAAATGGCTTCATATGATCACTATCCTTAAATAAAAGACAGGTTTTTTGGCATGATCAGTCATATTTTCAATATCAATGCCAAAATTACACGATTTTTGCCAGGGTATGCAAATCTTTGAGCACAACTGTAAGTATGTCTACTGTTACTGTGACCAAAAAAACTCAGTCATCAGTATATTCAGATCAGCTCTTGGGTTGAGTTTGCAGGGCTAGCCAGTCCTGGACAAATTATTCTGGGATGATAACACCACACATGTCTATGGCAAAAATAAAACAGGAAACCCTAGATCTCTGAGGTTTAAATAATACAAGTTCCAATTGCAAATACCCTAAGTAGGTTCTAATCACTGGAATCTAATCTGGAAGTCCAGATTATACTAAGGATTTGAAGTAGTAAATCTGCATTTTTGTTGTTAATTTAGGACATGAAAATGAAAACACAATGTTAACTTTGTGTAATTTGTTTGAGTATGTCACCTTTTTCTGTAAGCACTTTTTGAATCAAGCCCTAATGTTCAATATGTTGACAACATCAACTTCTTTTCAAGGTGCCTAAAGTGTATTTCCCCTTATCAAGTAAAAAAAAAAACAAAAAACTAACAAAACATATGTGTTCCTATTCACACAACATACCTAAAAAAATAGTTCCTAACTTTATAGATGTTTCTAAGGAGTACATACTTACATAATAGTCTAGCTGAAAAAAGACAAAAGTCCATCCAGTTCAACCATACAAAAAAAAAAGTTATAATCCTACGCCCACAGTTGATCCAGAGGAAGGAAAAAAACCCAGCAAAGCATGATCCAATTTGCTCCTGCAGGGGAAGAAATTCCTTTCTGATCCCCCAAGAGGCAATCGGATATTCCCTGGATCAACTTTACCTATAAATATTAGTAACCAGTTATATTCTGTGTATCCAAAAAAGAATCCAGGCCTTTTTTTAAGCTATCCATGGAGCTGGCCAGAACCAACTCTTGAGGGAGTCTATTCCACAATTTCACAGCCTTACTGTGAAGAAACCTTTCCGTATTTGGAGATTAAATTTCTTTTCCTCCAGACATAAGGAGTGCCCCCCTTGTCCTCTGTATGTCCGCACCAGAATCGGATCAGGTATTCACACCAGTGCGATCTGATTCTGCACATCGCACCGCGTTTTGCAAACCGATTTCGGGGTGTTGTTAACTTAACATACACACCAGCAGCAGTTCGCATGACCGGGGTGCGATCATGATGCTGTGCGGAAACTGCACAGAAACCGGGGCGATTTCCGCACCGCGTCAGTGTGAGCCCAGGCTCACATATACTTTAAGTGCAGCCAAAAATAAAACCACAGAAAGGTCAGCACAAGGGTGTTTTGTGTCCCTTGTGGGTGGAAAGGGTAGGCATAGTCGGGCTCTTTTGATGAGATTCTGTGACAGTCCCTTAGTTCTATTAGCACTCCCCCTGTGCTGCACAAGAGGATTACAGTGGCGGGGGTGGGGGGGTATGAATGGAGGAAGATTTCATCTAAAAGAAGAGGCGTCAGCACAAGAATCACAACCTATTTACTGTAAATTATGTCCCTTATGCTATTTTTTCTGTTTTTTTTTAATTTTGCCTACACTTAAGATTTAAAATAATTCAAAATGGTGGCCGCCTACCTCATCACTAACTGATCATCCAGGCTCCTGTAGAAAAATGAGTACACAGGAAGTACTCTCCTGCGCTCTACATGACTGAGTAATTGTCAGTCAAAGTATTTGAAAACTGTAAAAATATCCTGGAAAGGAGGTATAACACACTGGTACTGAAGTAGTTAAGTAACACAATTGTACTAGAAACCTAGCTCATTATAAACATTTAAAACACATCACATGATAAGGAATCCCCTCCACAATGATATATCTAATACTTTATTTGCAGATTAAACATAATCCCTCTCCTGTAGTCTAGACCCTAGTTGAACATAAACAGCCACATCCTTGTACAGCTGACACCCATGGCAGTGAAAGGGTTAAAGCTCAACTCCAGCCAAAACGTTCCTTTTAGAATTTAGACGTGAAGAACAGTTGGCTGGAGCTGCACTACAGGTTCATATCTGTGCCAGTGTGTTTGCGAGCCTATGCCAATGAGCTGCTGTAATTGTGGGACAAATGCGGGGGAACAAGTCCCCTACCCTTTTTAAAAAATGCAGACGCACGGAACTGCATGGTGTTGCAACACCATGCAGTTTAGCACAAATGAAAACGTGCAGCGCTTTCCATAGTGTGGGGGTGCCATTAGGAATTAATGGCACCCCCCACCTGTCTGCCAAAGAGCAGATAATGTTGCCTGCAGTTTAGGAATGAGAAGGATTATGCACACGTTCCTGACCCACACATATGTGAACCTAGCCTAAAATGGAATTAGTTTACAGCACGGATCAGCATAAAGAGGCACATCTGTGCCAGAAAATGTAAACTCTGATACACTGTATTACTGCAGCTGTAAGTAGAAGCTAATTACAATGTACAGTATTTATAGTTCCTTTAGGCTCAGTTCACACTATACTGGTTTCCCAGCAGTCATGTTTGTGCGGGCATAACAGCCTATTCATTTTAATGGGCTGCTCTACCTACAAAAAACACAGGGAAAAGGTCCTCGTGCCTTTTCCAAAATTGTAGCCGCATGGAAACTGCATAGTGCTATGCGATTTCCAGTGCATAGGGGTACCATTAAAAATGAATAGCACCCCTGCACCTCAGCTAAGAGCAGAAGGTTTTTCTATGAGGATGCGGGGAAAGCGTTCAATTAAACTCGGTCCAGCACCCGCAGACAGTGTGAACCTAGCCTTACACAAGAGTTGTTCAACCTGAAAACCGAAAATAAAACATTTAGATTTTTAACCCCTTCATGGCAAGGTAAAATAAATCCTAATGCCTGAACACAATTTTGCAACTTTGACGTGTTAGTAAAACTGTACATATCATTACAACTACTTTGTGTATCCAGGTGGATTATTCCTTGCTTATTTCAGGACAAATTGGGCTTTCATTTGGCAGTAAAGAGTAATGGATATCTTCTGATTTTTTTTTTTCAAAGAAAAACATCCAAAATAGTAGAAAAAAATAATTTTGTTTAAATTAGCTGTATATTTTTGCTATTACCAAACGTACCACCAAAGAACAGGCCAAAATACATTTTCCTGTTCCCAACAATCTCAGGGATACCACATATACTTGTTGTTTGTACCCATAGTCGGGCCCAGAAACAATAGTGAGCATTTTGGTTTGTTTTACCCTACAAACACATTGGCATTGACACTTACTGACACTGATACATTTGTAAAAAATGCTTTTTGAAAAAAAAAACTACTTACAATACTGGCTTCCTGCCCGACCTACAGATGCTTTCCTGTCATATGGCATCCTCTGCAGAATGCACCTTGTACGTACCCCACAGGTCACACTGTGGAGCAATCTTTCACCTGCTGTGTCCACCGAACACTGTGAGTGACAGATCAGTGTACTGGGCTGCTGCCAGTACCATGTGATCGCTGTGACCAATCACATGACAATTTTACACAATGGATGGCTTTACATACTGTCACCAGTCAGTGTCCCTGATCACTTCCATACCACTTTTATGATGACGCTGTACTGCACTGATATTGTGTATAAAAAAATCTCAATTTTCTCAATTTTCCACAAAATTGTGGCAAAAAAAGTACTACTTTAAAAAACTCGCCAGACCTCATACTATATGTCTCTGACTGTCTACTTTCCAAAAAGGGGTAATTTGGGGTATATTTGTACTGTACTGGCACTGGCCTCAAGAAATGAGAGGCAGTACATCAGGACTGGTCAATAGTCAGATCTATATCTCATAGTTTGTGGACTCTATAACTTTCCTTCAAACTAAATAATATACACTGATTTTGGTTAGTTTCACCAAAGAAATGTAACAAAATACATTTTGGTAAGGAAAGATTATTTGCAAACTTTTATAACAGAAATGAAGAAAGATGTGGTTTTTTTTTAAATTATTATTCTTTGTTTATT